AAAATGAATAAATGAATAAATGCAAAAATATGAGTAAAATAATGTTTTGTCATTTAACGTAACAGATATTTAAACATTTTTCACCACTTATTCTAACCATATTTATATATGAAGGTATATGAGTGATTCATTTTATTCTTTTTTAATTATTATTAATTTGTTATAAACCAAAAGATGTCAAGTGTTATGAAAGATGGCAAAGTATAACAATGATGTTGTTTATTTGAGGTGTGCATGCAGTGTGCATTTGGGGGGATGCATGCAGTTAAATTTTTAAAGGAATTCTTGCTATAAATATGCCTGACAAGATTGTTTTAAGTCTTTGGTGTATAGCCTAATAACATGTCTCTGCTGACAACCACCGAATGTCATGTGTGAAAAAAATGTAAAACTGTATTACACTTTAATTGTTTTAATGGATGAAAACCCCTCTCCGCCTTTGACCTGTAAGACACATTTTCATTAAGATGCATTATTAAAATTTCATTAAAAGCAGAAGAACACAAGTTGACTGGAACATATTTGCATTTATTCACTCACAAAAGATCACTTTAGCTCTCATTTAGAGAGACCAGACATACAGCATTCAGAGAATTCCCTTAAATGATAATGATAAAGCATAAACACACATAAAACATTTATGTGGGGTCTATATTTGATCCAGATCACTTAAGCATCAGTATGATGCATAACTACATTTTCATATAAATGTCCATCAAGACAAGATGCAGCTGTTGTTTTTCTTCATTGGGGGCTTTTCCCGCTTCTCTGTGAGCTCTCTGGACATTGTCTGTGTCCGTCTGCGCAGTGCCGGACTCACCCGGCTCGGTAACTTCATCTGTTGAAGCAAGTCCCGAAACACGGCTGTGACATTGTCGCCGGTGCGCGCGGAGGTTTCCACGAAGCCCGCGCCCCAGTCCTCCTCCACCGCGCGCATCGCCTCCGCAGTGGCCTGGCGACTCCGGCTGCACAGGTCCGCTTTGTTCTCGATCACCGTGATGCCAGTAAAACTCTCTCCTTTTAGCTCCAGAATCTCCTCACGAAGTCTCTGCACCTCCTCCAGGGAATCTGGCTCGTCGGCTGCGTACACGAGCGCAAACGCGTCCCCGGTTCGGATGCAAAGAGCGCGCATCGCAGGAAAGGAATAACTTCCGCTCGTATCCAAGATCTCAATGCGCACCCGAGCGCCTTCAGTGTCGTACTCGAGCGCGTGAAGCTCTTCCACCGTGCGCGTGTATTTGGAGTCGAATCGATCCTGCAAGAAGCGGGTGATCAGGGCGGTTTTACCAACCCCGGCTGCGCCCAGAAACACAAAGCGCACCGTCCGACGCTCCTGCACTAACAGAGACATCTTGCCTCAGTTATTAATTTAATAAGTTACAGCTCTCAGAGGAGACTTTTGATGAGCAAATCTGAGCGTCATCGAGATGCTGACCTGCAATGTTTAACAGAGACAAGAATTGCTGTCCTTATATTAGCCCACCTGCGTCCTACGCACTGATCAGGTGTGGCCAATGGAAACGCAAGTGACGTGACGCGTGGGTGTCTTGCGTTGTAGAGGTTCAGTTTGCAAGACAGTGTGCTTATTATTCAGTGTGTTCGGGAGTTCAGCGAGGGTCAGTGGGAAATTTTCGGGTCGCAATTTGCGCAACCGGTTGAGGTTTCTCGCGCAAGAGTGGTCTGTTAGCGCTTTCAAATAGTTTTTGCAAAGTAGTTACCTTTTTTATTAAGTAAAACACTTAGAAAGAGTTTTGCTAGAAAACCTCTTGGCAATTAAAAATGCAAGTCAAAGGCAGCAGCACAAGCTCAGAAGCTTAATGTGCTCAGGAAGGTCCATTTAGTCTGTGAATTAAAGGTATACATTTTTCAGCTAGATCATTTTTTTTTTGTTTTAAGCCTTCAGACTATAAAGCCATTTGATTGATTTTTGTTTCACCTCAATACATTTTTTGACTCAGAGACTCAAAGTGCCAGTAACCATTCACATGTATTTAAAGAATCATCATGGATGATTTCAGCTAATAATCTTGCTTATTGTTCTTCTGTAAGGTACACGGCTTTTATAATAGTAGATTTACATTTTTAGGTGATAGATCTCTTTAAGTATCAATAACCAAATTTACTTGCTTTTCCACATATGCGATATTTAAAAAGATAATAAACTATCATTTTTTGTCACACAACACAATACTGTATCCTCAGAGGAACATGATTTCTGCTTGCATTAGTCTTTAAATCTTTTCTGAAACCTTTGAAAAAAGTCAAATGTCATGTTAATAATTAATTTTATTTGCAAATTAATTAGCTTTAACTTAACAACTGGATCTGTTTATATGCAAATGTCAAACATTTGTTCCATTTATGCATCATAACCTATTAATTCGAAAAGAAGAACTCAAACAATATTAATTGCAGAGACAACAATGCCGCTTTTTAAAAGAGCTGCTGCATATTTTGTTCTCAATCATGTTTTATCTTTAAATAGAATCAGTTTTTAATTTGTGAGTTATTATAGAGAGCTATGCTGTCCCAAACAGGATTTCTGACTGGAGAATGCTTGACATATTGTAGGTGTGGTTTGGCAGCTTGCTAAAACACCTATAGCAGGGTTAATTATTGAACTTTACAAGACTATTTGATGAATAATGTTTAATCATCTCAAGCTTGATGTACTGACTGACCTTTCATAAGACTCCAGGAAATATTAATAATACTACCAGTAATAGCTTAATTATTCATCATACTACATATTTTATATAATTCTTCCATGAAAAAATGAATAAAAATATTGGCTTTAATAGTCAAATGCTTCTATAAGCAAGGCTGGGATTGTTATCAAAGCAGGCAACCCCATCCTGAGGTCAGGTACAGCTCACATGCTTCATGAGGCCATCACGTCAGAGATGACTTTCCACTTGCTGCATATTTAAAATCATGCTATCTGACGGTAGTCATGGCAATACACACGGTCATCTCAGAGCAAAGACATTTTACAGACATAAACTGGATTTACGCAATTCTGAAGCGACAATAATAATTTGGTTTTAGTTTAGATGCTGTTGTTTTTTATGCATGCTCTATTATGCATCACTTTAAAAATTGATTGTGTAACAAGTGCAACTAAAAGTTAGATCAAAATTTCAGATCTACAAAAATGCATTTGTAATCGCATTTGGGAAACAGGATATTTACAAGACAACCATGGCTTCATGTATTTGAGTACATTTAGTACATTGTATTTATGAGCAACAACAAGGTAAGCTTTTGTGAAATCAGACCGGAAATGTCAGAGAGCAAGAACTGACCTTTTATGTGCAAATCCTCCGGATTAACCTACTGGGGACACACCGTCTTCACTCCACATGCAGATACATCTGAATAACACTATCACCTCCACAAACCATTACGTCAGACCACAGGTACGTGCTCGCAGAGAACAAGTGTCCTGATACAGAAACACTAAATAAAAAACTGATGCAAATCTTATTAGGTGATATTAGACATGTGTTATTATTTTTGTAGTATAATAAAAATGTGGCGATGCAGTGGTGCAATAGGTAGTGCTGTCGCCTCGAAGCAAGAAGGTCGCTGGGTCACTGGTTCGAACCTCGGCTCTGTTAGCGTTTCTGTGTGGAGTTTGCATGTTCTCCCTGTGTTCATGTGGGTTTCCTCCGGGTGCTCTGGTTTCCCCCACTGTCCAAAGACATGCGGTACAGGTAAATTGGGCAGGCTAAATTGTCCGTAGTGTATGAGTGTGAATGAGTGTGTGTGGATGTTTCCCAGAGATGGGTTGTGGCTGAAAGGGCATCCGCTGCGTAAAAACGTGCTGGATAAGTTGGCAGTTCATTCCGCTGTGGCGACCCCGGATTAATAAAAGGACTAAGCCGAAAGAAAATGAATGAATGTGTTTTCAGTCGTTTGCACATGGTCAGGGTATTAACTGACTGAATATATAGAAAAGGTATCATGATGATATAAAGTATATGAGATGATGTTGGATGATATGAGTTTTTTTTGTACCACCCTGCTTTACGTAAATATGGTGTTGTAAGTATAATTGTTTTCTACACTGTCCAATTAAAAAATCAGTGAAAAAAAATTTCCTTTATTTTCCTTTTTGACTCTAAACATACCATCAAAAATCACACAGGTGCCAATTTCACATCCATCACATCCGTTATGGAGCCTTTTTCTAATAAATGCAAAAATTGTCAAATAAAATAAAACCAATCATGTTTGTTCTATAGTGAGCCAAGCCTTAGATTAGCATTATTTTGGGGTTGTGCACTCTACAAAGTATGTTGTATACTGTAAGCTCGCAGACTTTTTTCGTCACATCCATAACGCATGTTAATTTTCCTCAATTAAAATATAAAATATGTTTACAGATTGTGATGAGCTGTTTTGGAAAAAAATAAACAGATGTTTCAATATAATCTTAACGTATACTTTCTACGTTAACTTATGTTTAAACATTTCATGGCAAATGTGACATCCATAATACTGGACTAAAACATCTAATATTCTCTTTTAAAATATTTTTTTATGAAAAATGTTACTTTCCTTACCACTCTCCTCTAATTTTTAGAGCACAAACACCTTCTAATTCATTAAAAAGAGGCACATTTACAGTCTTGGCTGGTGGCAGAAAGGTTAATGATAAATGCAGAAACCACCTGCTATATTGGCCACTTGAACCTACAATAGCAACTAATATCTGTACACGTGAGCCTTTAAAACAAGATTTATGAAGCACCATTCTCTCTTATGCAAATATTCACCTTTAGCTAATATTTAATCTACAACTGCAAACCTTACAGCAGCCAGATGGGGAAGACGACCTCAAATCTGCTGCCAAGCACATGAGAAACTTGTGGACAGACATTAGTGACGAGTCCCGATGACATGATCAGACAGGTCATGCACAAGTCCGTTTTAACCTAAATACTGTTCTTCTGCGACTATTTAATGTGATAATTTAATACATTACACTGTAATACTAGTAGGAAAACCGAGTAACTTCATATACAGTCTTTGTTTACGCGATAGCGAAGTTTGATAAAAGTGAGTTGTTATCGATTAGTTTAGTCTGCAGTCAGAACTCGCGGGACGGTTGAGCGTGGCAAAATATTCCGCAAGTCTTGTCAGGTTAGAAACTAAAGTAACGTTAAAAAGATACTTTTGAGAGTATTGTTTTCCTCCTGTGTGTGTGTGAATGGGTGTTTGGTTTGTATAAACGATCGCCTGACCAGCCAAATATGTTTATTTGTGAATTTATTGCGTCAGATGATATGTGGTTGTTTGTTGTTTACTCTATATGTTCATTTTCTTGTGTCAGATTTATACTTGACAAGTAAGTTTTAGCTGTAAAAATATGAATAAACATGTGCAGATAAGTTTACAGGATGTCGGAGGAGATTCTCCATAACGAGGACAAAGAGACTGTAAGTTCTTGTTTATGTTTTATATATATACTTGTGAACGACCTAGATAAAAAATGCTTTTAATTATCCAGACAACTAACCACAACTGCTTTATGTAAATAACCAAACTACCTGTACAATTACAGTGTTGACATGTAAGTACCATGGTATTTTGTAAAGCACGCGATGTAAATACTATGTAGTGTCGTTGTATTAACGTCTGAAATCCTACCTGTACCACAGTAGCCTTTTTAATTACCTTAATATTCAATGTTTTTATTTTGTGTTTGTACATAAAATGCAGTAAAATAAAATATATTTAACTGTCATTGATGTAATATTCTAGCTGAGGAGAAGACTGGAGCAGTTGAAGCAAGAATATGAAAGGACGGCGCAAAGACTACAGGTAAAGATGTGCTATATTTATGGTTATACAAGAATTATTCGTCAAGCTGATGTTCAAATTGTTCAAAGCTTGAATTGTAGTATATTTTAATCAGTCAAAGCTGTTGATGATGTTTATGTATTTTTGCTTTTTTTAAAGAGAGCAGAGCATCATGATGCCATTCGCAGACACAGACTTACACAGATTGAGTTGTCACAGACTTCTGAGCCGTCCTCTGCAGCTTCTTCCATGTCAACCTCAGATCATTTTGAAAACCATCAGAATCTGCAATTACAAACAAGTAAGGCCAGTTTCAATGTAAAGAAACACATGCAAATAGAACTGTTAATGTTACTGAATTATAATGAAGTTTTACTCTTATTTGTGTATTGCAAATAACTAAAGGTAGCATAATTTTTTTTTATAACTTATCATTTAATGTTTTAAACATTAAGCCATTAAGCCTCTACAAGGCTACATTATTTTCATTTATTGCTAAGGTAATGCTTTCTCAATATTTTTAAGTTTTACTTTTAAATACATTTAATGTTTTAATTTAAAATGTATTTTATTTTATGAAAACAAATGTTTTCATAATTTTTATATAACAAACATATTTTTAGAACTTTCACCATACATTTGTCCACTATTAATACTGTAGAAATAGCAGTTTCTTTACAACTGGACATATGAACAGAAAAAAACAACCCTTGGACAATAAGAAAAAAAAGTGTTTTTATCCAGATTTAGGTGTAGTGCTAAAGTTAAAGTGTGTTCAAATTACATAAAGCCTATTTAAAATTCTAATCAATTCTGAATACTAACAAACATTGGTTTTCATTTTGCTCTCCAGACAGAAACATCTCAGATTTTTCTGCTGTTGAGAAAACCCCTGCCTTCCAATTGCAACTAGCTGAGATTACATCTACACCGTCTTTGTACTCCCCTGCATGCAAGCGAAGCCCTGCTCACCGGCTCCGTTCAAAACGCAGTCGACTGCGCCTACAGAACAAAGAGCGAGAATCAGACACTGACATCAGCCAAGAGAATATCCATGAAAGAGAGAACGCCGAAATAAGGGAATGTCCTAATAGTAAAGGGAACAGTCTGAAAAAAGTTAAAAATGAAGAGAAGGACTTTGAAAAGATAAAAGAAAGAGACATTGAGAAGGAGAAGTGTAAGGATAGGCCATCACGAGTAAAAACAGACAGTAAAATTGTGAAGCCACCTCAAGTTCTGGAGAATGATGGGAAAAAAGAGGAACACTGTGTATTAAACTGCTCTGTGAGTCAATCAAATGACAAACTGCCAGTGGTTTCAAGTATAGAAATTCATTTAGAAAATCAAAATGCTGACAGTAGCAAGGCAGAGGTTGATTTACCTCTTACTGATTGGCCTGTTAAGGAAGAATTACACTTTGGTCCACCAGTGTCTATCTCATTTTTCTCTCAGTCAGCTGAGGCAACTGACAAATCAGTAGAGATGTTAAAACAAACCAAACAGCCATCAACTAAAAAAGATTATGATGACAAAATTGATGTTAAACAATCCTCATTTACATCTGGTGTTCTAGACTCATGCACACTTGTCGAGGGTTTACCATTTCCAGTGGAGTATTATGTTCGGACGACACGACGCATGGCTGCATCTAACAGCTCCATTGATCTAGATGCTGTCATTTATAGCCAGCTCACAGGAGGGCGAGGCAGACGCAGACTGAGCCAATCACAATTGAGCAGTAGAGGTCAGGTGACCCCAGAGCGTTTAGAACCAGTCTGTAGGACCACTGACCAACAAAGAGGCAGAGGAAGAGGACGGAGAGGGAGGAGAGGACGTCGAAGAACGACTGTAGGACCCACATCATGTGCCAATCTTACAGCAGATTCTCCAGAGTCTCTTAACAAATCTCACGATGAATTACTCAGGCAATCAGAATTGGTTCTTGAAGGTCCGCAGGTTGAGTCTCAGTCAAACGATTTGCATGAGCCTGCAGTGAATTTAAACCCAGAGCAAGGAGCTACTCAAGATTTAAAGCATCTCCCAGATTCTCAGCTTTACATTGACTCCCAACTCATCCCGGATTCAAATTTGTATCCTATTTTCAGGAGAAAGCTTGGACAAACTGGATTAGAGTCTCAGAAAGGAACAAATAAATATGGTGAGAATTATTTCCTACTTGTGGCTAAAATGTTGTGTTTCAGTCATGATTTTTTATTTGTTGTTGTTTTTTATTTTGCATTTTAGATCAGTCGCCATTTTTGCCATCATTAACTTCACTTATCCAGGGTCTTCAAGAAAAGAAAACAACAAGTGGACAAGTAACTCTTGATGATATCCAGGATTTCCACTTACCCGATGAGGATTTTGGCCAGCTGAAGCTTGAAAGATTATGCTTGCCCACTTCAATCGTAGAACCCTTCCCACAGCACCATCTAGCGTACAAAACACGGCAGAGCAGCAGGCGCCAGAGAGCGAGAAAGTGTAAAACTGATGCACATTTTTCAGTGGGGGAATTGTTTACTCCAGAACCCATATATATCTCTTCACTTGAGGACAGTTTACCACATTGCCAATCAGATGCCACTGACCAATCGCAGACAGAGATACCAAAAGATCCTCATGCTGTAAATGAAATCTCTTCAGCTCTGATGAACTGCACTGAACCAGGCGAATGCATGAATAATGAGAGAAAGGTTGAATCCTCAGAAGCAGAAAACATTAAAGGGCTGCAATCACAAATACAAAAACAATCTGACATACTCCTAGAGAAAACCTCACTTTCTCCTGTGATACTGAAGTTGAGTCCATCTTTGACCGCGCACACGCAGAAGAGTCAAGATCCTGTGCTGCCATCTCTAGGAATGTCCCCTCACTTTTTGACTCCAGCTTCACCCTTAGATCTCCGGAGCCCTCTCTTTTCATCATCTGGCATCCTTAAGTCTACCTCTTCAGTGACACTCATGGGTTGTGTTTCTCCAGAATCCGTCTCAGCCAAAACTTCAGAGAACATAAAAAATAGTAACTTTATAAAGCGAGGAGGTCGAGCTGAAGTTCAGAGAGGCTCTAGGATTCAGACACCATCTAAAATGACTCAAGAGTCAATAACAAAAGCTCAAAATAATGTGAAACTGAATATGTCTTCTCAGAGGAACATTGCATTGGGATATGAACATTTAAAAAGTCCAGAAACCCCAAAGAGAGAGTCCTCATGCATCTCAGGAAATTACCTGGAACATGAAAGAAGTTTTGATGAAGAAAGCAATCTTGAATGTGGAAATAAAACCAAGTGCACAACAGAAAATGAAGCTCAGCTCCACAATAATCCCCAACTGGAGAGTATTAATCCTGTTCAAAATTGTGAAAGCTCTAAGCTTTGGTCTGAAACCCAAAGTCAAACTCCCTTTGATAAGATATCTTTGGAGACTTCTGTAAATCAGAGAACAGAAAGAAGGAATGAGTCAGAGGAATTTTCTTCCAACAATCTGACATTATTTCATGAGCAAACGCCATTCTCTGATGCAGGTCATTTTTCCACAGTCCTGCAGGAGATGCATACTTTTAAGGTGTCAGTAAAGGTTAATAAATATTTGATTGATTTGGAATGAAAATTATATTTGCTTAATATGTATATCTTTGTACTCAGGCGCTGGAAGATGGATGCGTGTTGGATTTGTGTTTGGTGCGATGGCCATCAGAGGACTGCTGCATATGTGTGGCTGGACAATGGAGTGTTTGTCTTTGGGCTCAAAGGAAGGGAGATCAGACGTGGAGTCTTTCACATTCCTGGACATTTGCACAGGTGAATTTATTTGCTAACTGCATTTCAGTGTTAATTTAAAGAGTAGTAGTTGTGGATGTTTACCATTAAAAGTAAAATATACAGTTGGGCAAATAAGTATTGGACAAATCAGCATTTTTCTCAGAAAACCTATTTCTACAGGTGCTGTTGACTTGAAATTTTCACTGAATGTTATTAACAAAAATAGAAATCCATATATGCAAAAAACCAAAACTATTTAGTTTACAAATTAAGTTATGTGTAATGAAATAAAATGACACAAGGAAAAAGTATTGAACGTGAAGAAAGGGAGGTGTAAAAAGGCAGCGAAAGCCCAGACAGCAGCTGAAATCTCTCAGTAGTTCTTTAGCAGCCCTCTGCCTTTCCTCATTGTAAATTAAAATTAGCTGCTTCAGTCAAACATCTACATAACCAGGATGATGAAGATGAAACCAGAGTGAACATTTAAGCAAGACAATGATGCAAAACACAGCCAAGGAAACTCCCTAATGCTTTCAGAGAAAGAAAATCAAGCTGTAGAATGGCCCAGCCAATCGCCTGTTTCGAATGCAGTAGTAAATACAAAATAAAGATCTGATTCAATAGACGAGACCTACAGAACCATCAAGATGTATACACTTTGTAGAAAAAAAATCACACCTGAGCAGTTCATGTGAATTAATTCTCCATATGAGAGGCGTCCTTCAGCTGCCATCACCAAAAAAGCCTTTTATATAAAGTATTAAATACGTTTCAGTAGTTCCACTCTTTCTCCTAGTGTCATTCCATTGGTATTACACAGAACTCATTTTCAGATTTTTTTTTTTGTTTGTTTTATTTTATTGTTATGTTTGTAATGTTTGTGTTTTTTTTCCAAAATATGGTTCAATTGCATGTCAACAGCTCCTTTAGAAATTCTTCTAGATTATTCACAGAAAAAAACATGACTTGTTTAATACTCATTTCCCCCACTGTATCTGTGTCCCTGCAATATTTGATTCTTCTGCTTGTATTTGCAGTCCGTCATGTCTTTGCAAGCAATTGCAGACTCTTCTGGGTTGCTTTGTGTGACTTTGGGTCAATTGGAAATTGCAGAGGCAAGGTAATAAAAACAGCATAAATGAACCGCAAAATACTGTCTGGTAGACCCTTTTGAGGGGTTTCTTCTTGCTGTTGTTGCAGAACCTAAAATCTAAGCTAATTCACCCTTTGTTTTTGAGTACAGGGTGCTCTGCTGTCCAGGTAATGATGGACCATTCTCTCAGACTGTTGTGTGCACGGACACGTTACAAGCTGTGGTCGGTGTGTCCAACTGTCGGCTAGTGTGTTGCTCCACCCCTGGATATCAGCAAAGAGTCAGCATGTTAACCTTGTCTCAAGAGGGAAGGTAACAAACCATCATGTGTATTTTAAACACCTGAACTAAAACTATTCATCATTCACTCATGTTTCATTCGTCTTATAATTACAGTGTAGTGAAAAGTCTTCCCTTCATCTCTGCTAAGCAGAACATTCAGACCCTTGCAGCTGTAGAAGGAGAAAAAGAGGCTCTGATTGGATTGACAGAATGTAAAACCCTCCTTATATGGTGATGATTTTGACAACTTATTCTGTTTAACTGCAGTGCATTTTGAAAAACCATTTTAAATGTATTCATTCAGTACAATGAGATCAAATAATAGGGATACATTCAGTTAGTGATGTTTTACTATTGTTTTATTTTTTTATTATTAAATTATGATAAAATAGTTTTGGCAGTTCAGTTTTTTATAGGTAGCCAAGTGGTGGTCCAGTTTAGATACATTTTGTGCATGTTGTCAGTTTCTTTAGTGTTTAAATGTTATAATTGATTATCCCTTTGATAAATTTTAGGAGCATGAAGTCAGGCCAGCTGCTTCAGACTATATGCCTGGAGAAGACTTTAACCAGGACCAACTGTATGAAGGGATATTCCTACAGAGTAAGTAAATGTTATGTTTTTGTAATAAAGGGAAAATGTGCTGGTAATTTACACTCTTTCAGGGCATCCAAGGCTAGGATGTCATGATTTTGCCAAGTACGATGCGATCCTGGATTAACATCTGTGCTGATCTTGGAACATCATTTTTGTTCGAAAATGTAATCCTTACCTATTCCTCACCCCTAAACCCAACCATAACTGTCAATTATTCCCAAAATCAGAGGGGAATAATAATTGGATAACAATCATGTAGAAGTGCATAAACCTAACCGTAAGCCTAAACTTAACATAAACAGAAAACATATCCCTTAATTCTGATTGGCTGATTGAAATGTTGTTCCAGGATCAACATATATGTTAATCCAAGAACATGTCGTACTTGGTGTAATCATATCCTAATTGGTTGGCGTCTAATATTAGGTGCTGTTTTTGTCTTCAGAAGATGATAGTTAGAGTTTTAGCTGAAAGATCATTGGTCATTCATAAAACGCAAGTCAGCAACTATCAGCACTATATACAGGCAAATAAAGTTAATAAACAAATATGTCAGCTCACATATGAGACCTTCATGAATGCACTCAGGACTGTTTGCAGAGGCTTTGGATCAAAGGTAATAATGTTGTGAATATGGATAAATGATCACTTTAAAGGGATGTTAATACATTCATTGGTTTATTTTCTTTTCAGCTTAGTCCCTTTATTAAACTGTGGTGGCCACAGTGGAATAAACCGCCAACTTATCCAGCACATGTTTTACACAGCTGCAACTCATCACTGAGAAACATCCATACAAACTCAATAACACACACACTCACACACACACAATTTTACGGACAATTTTGTCTTACCCAATTCACCCATTGCGCATGTCTTTGGACTTGTGGGGGAAACCGGAGCACCCGGAGGAAACCCATGTCAACACAGGGAGAACATGCAAACTCCGCACAGAAACGCCAACTGACACAGCTGAGGCTCGAACCAGCGACCTTCTTGCTGTGAGGCGATTGTGCTACTTACTGCGCCACCGTGCAGCACTTTAACTAGATAGCTCACCCAAAAATGAAAATGAACTCATTGTTTATTCTCCCTCATGTAATTTAGAACCTATGAGTTTCTTTCTTCTGTTAAATATATTTTGAAGAATTCTGATTGCTGGCACCCATCAACTTCCATAGTAAGAACAAAATTACTATGTATATCAATGGGTGCCAGATATCAGCAATTTTCAAGATATCTTTTGTGTTCAACAAAAGAACAAAACTCAAAGAGGTTTCAAACAAGTCAAGGGTGAGTAAAGGATGACAGAATTAAACATTTTGAGTCTGACATCAATGGTAATAGTAAACGCTTACAATGCACTAATATTTTCCTTAATCATGATCGCAATAAATATTCATGCCTAATATCAGATGGCCAGAAAGATTACAAAATTTTTTTTCCTTAATTTTAAAGTCCAGAGACTGTTGTGTTTGCCACAGTTTTGTAAGAAATTCACTTCAATATTTAATATGACTAAAAATTGGTCATAAACAAATATTTTCAAGCAGATACCCTTTAATAAACGTGTCAGTAATAACTTGCTTTTTTTCCTGCAGGGTGTGCTGTGTGTATTGCTTCAAAATTCTGGATATGTGTGTGATGAAGAGAGTAACACATGCCTTTTTACTCTGGTTGCCACAAATCCTCTGACTGGCAAACATATCACACTGTCCTCCATCAGCCACCCTGATCAACCCAAACAGCCGTAAGACTCGGGTTTTAGTATCCACAAAATCTTTGCTGCATTTTCTTTTCCTTTTAAATGAATTTTATGGCAAATTACAGTAAAACAAAAACAAAGACAAAAACAATTCTGTTTTTAAAAGTGTGGATAGTATCAACTTATGTAGCTGATGGTTTGAATGAATAAGCATGTTTCTCTTTCTCCAGATTATTAGATGGTGATGTCTCGGGCTCCAGGCTGGTTGGTGTTTTCCAGAATGGTCATCTCGCTGTTTGGGATCTTAGGGAGAGTGTAGCTAAAGCTACTGTTGTGCTGGATGAGTCGTGTCGATTAGCTCGATGGGCAGGACCAGACACACTACTGACTGGATATCTCAACGGGGATGTCAGTGTGTTTCATTATAAATCGGCGTAAACGGTTCATACAAAGTTTCTGTGAATCTTTTTTTAAATGTTAAAGAAAAATCAAGATACGTTTTCAGATTTCGGTTGTTTGTGCGAGTTGTGCACTGTCTTATGCAAGCTATTCATAAATATAAGCATTACCAGAAACAGTTGTACTTTTGGATATGTAAAAATATATTTTACAAAATAAAACTAAATTCTGGCAATTCTGCAGATGAAGCATTTGTTGTGTTTAATTATTATTGTTACTGTAGCTGTAAAATGTTTATAATTTAAAAAGCTTCTGTTCTTTTTTATAATAAATGGCAATTACAATATATTATATAGAGTAATGAGTAGAAAGTTCGCAACAGAGCTTTTAATTGACTCTTCTTATTTGTTTATCTCCCAAACTGAATTACCAGATGTTGAATGCACACTACTTGTCTATGTTATGCACACTACTTGTGTAAATAAATACAAATTAATTATAATTTTTTAAAATTGTGTTATAGTTCCTAAAAATTTGGGTTGCGGCTTGATGATCATGTAAAAATGTGGGTCCCATGGTCAAACCAGTTGAGAACCCCTGATCTAGAGGATTTAGGTGAACACAGCAGCACGGCGATGTGTCTAAATGTGAACAAACTCCTGATAAAAGAAAAAGCCGCCATTCTCCAATTCTCGTACTGCTCTACCGACAAAAAATGCTTGCTGCACACAAACAGCTTGGCTTTATCGACCTTGACAGCATTGCGGGGAAAAACATGCAACTAACCCCGTGGATCATAGAAATAAACACATTCAACCCTTCATGTACAGCTAAATACTGTGTGCCGTGGGTCTGTGTCTCACAGCTTGGCACTGGCAGGTCTGCCTTCCCTTCGGAAAGCACTTGCAGTCATGAATAATTAGGAAGCCGGCTCTTCTCATAGGATAAGAAAATTCAGCTATGAATAATAATAAGAAACCGACGCGTGATCTTTGCACTTGTAGTTTTGCACTACGTCGCTGATTTTGATCCTACCCCAAAAATCATTTTAAACCCGGAAGCTGAAATTAGCTGACAAAAGTTTAAAATTGTCCAGTTTGTCTTAACTGATGCTCAACACACACAAATCTGTTAAAATCTCAAAAAAGTTCTCGAGGGTTTTGTGAACTTTTAAAGGCAGTCCACAAAAACAGCTACATTGTGTTCAAAGCAGAAAATCCAGTATTCTGAAAGGTATAATAAATAATCTGATGGGTATTTTGAGCTGAAACTTTACAGACACATTCCGGAGACACAAAAGACTTATCTTACATCTTGAAAAAGGGGTAAAATAGGTTCCCTTTAAGTGTTCAGGATCAGATTCATAATTGTACTTCATACAATAAACTTTAAACAAACATTTAAAATAACATCAGAGCTAAAGTGGTTTTAGATTAACAATATTTCTGAAGTGATGTGTACAAATAAATTTATTCTAAATATAATTATATGAAATTGTCATTGACCATTTTTTTGTAAATTGCAACTATTTTAACGTTTTTATATGAGAGAAACTCCTTAGAAAAGGGTTTTTAATACAGCTAACGTTAGCTACTATGTACAACTCAAAATGTGGTTTATGAAATAAAGAACAAAGGCGCAAACGTCACTTTTTTGAATGTGCGAAATTGGATAAATGTTGCTGCTATGCACTGAGAGTTAATATAGTACATAGATACTATGAAAAAATATTCTCATAAATTATTTTAACTTAACTCGAGGGATATTTCGATTTATTCTTTGAGAGTGTTGTGTCGCGCATGCGCAGCAGCCGTCTCGTGCATTGTGGGAGCTAGTTGAGAAACATGGCGGCGCGCATCCTTGCCCGGTGTGTCCGATCGCTGAACCACCGTTCTCTATATTTTAACCGTGTAAACACTGTCGCGACTTTAACAGCAGCTCCGCTCATCCATGGCCGCACACTTTCACATCTGACAACCGGACACAAGTCTTCACTGGCGCAGGTGTGTGTTCCTGAGTGACTGATGACGTCCGATGACCTACCCGTGTCTTTAGTTAGAAAGGCTTCAGCAATATCGACAAACAACCTCATTTCGCTTCATCTCAGTGCTGTGTTATATAAGTCTGCAGAAGTTTAAGACAAATGAGATGAATGTTAATGGTTAACGGTTAATTTTACTGCTTTAACTCACTCATTATCTTTACGTAACGTTATAAGAGATTGTTCGTGTAGTCTTTGTTTACATGTTTATTTGGCTTTAGTACTGTATTAAATTGCGGTATATCAGTTGTAATGATTTATACGTGAATAGGCCATTACACCACTGTTCGTAAACGTTTATGATAGAATAAAAGTGCCTTTTTTGGTTTTGTTGTAATATGTGATATTTGTTTAACGTAAATATGCTATATCTTTTATATATTTTTATTGCCATTCTTTGATATTATCCTTCTGTTCAGTCATTTTTACCAAAACAAACAACTAAAAATGTACTTTTTTTTTTACATCATTAGAACATTGAGGTTAAGTTGGTTTTATGTTCACAGATTCAGACTTTCTCCTTAATAATATAATTTTAGAAAAGTATTCATTGCTAATCCTAAATAGTGAAATCATATCAGCAGTCAATGACCATCAAACTACAACATTGTTCAGTCATTTAAATATTGCTAATGTTGTTTTGAAGTCATACTTGTATGCGATTTGAGACGGCACATGTCACTAAACTAATGATCAAATGAAAAAACCCAACATTACCTCAATCATCAAATTGTGTCTTTGGCACTTGCCATTTTGTAAACGCGTAAACTCATGGACATGGCTGGAAAATGTTAAATAATTTTGGGGAAAAAAGTCACTATTGTGTTCTTCGTGGTCAAAACTGACAGTACAGGAGACCAATGGCAAGTTAAATTCATCCAGTGGGGAGCGTTCAACACTGTGGTGAAAAATATCTTAGTGAAATTTTTCTTAAATATCTTAGTGATAATTTTCTCAGTTATTAATAGCTTGTTTACTGATATTTACTATCAAATACAAAATAGTTTGATAATGGCATGTGTTGTTCATGTTATTGCTTTAATTTCACTTTAAATCTGCCACGTGTCTGTTTTGAAAGATAAAACTTTGAAGTGCTACTATAAGCTATATTTAGTGGGTAACATGTTAAATATGGATTACAAATATTTCATAAACACAATTTAGTATAAAAATATATATATATAAAACTGAGCTTAATGGATTCATTGAATAATAATAATACTTTTTGAATTAACTTATTATTATTTTTCATACCTATATTAACAGAATAATTATTTGTTTTATCAAATATTTGATAAAAATATTGACATTTTGTCAAAGCAGATAACTTGTAATGATTAACTTACTATAGAAATATTGAAACAACAATACAAAGCTAAAATGGTACAGAATAATAGTCATAGTAGCATCTGTTTCAATATTCATGAGTTACTCTAAAATGGCACATTCCCTAGCTTAATGTATTTGTTGTGTTTTGTAGGTGTCTGGCAGTTCACCACAGATCTTTCAGTGGAGGCAGTTCTGTGACTCGCCTCCGTTAACCCTAAAGACTGTCCATGAGCGTGTGCTCTACGTCCTGAAGCTTTATGACAAGATCAACCCTGAGAAGGTAAGCACACCAGCGGTTTGAGCAGGTCAACAACAAACATGTGAGATTGAATTGGTCCATACCAGCTTTAGATTTATATTAAACTCTGTAGATGATCTGTGTTTGGTGATGATTTAAAGGTTGTTTTCATTATTTCTGTTCAGCTTCAGGTCACCTCTCACTTCATGAAAGATTTGGGACTGGACAGTTTAGACCAGGTGGAGATCATCATGGCCATGGAAGATGAATTTGGTTTGTAACTACATTAACAATTGTAATTCTTCCCGGTATCACACATTGACCATTTTTTTATTGCGCGCATTGCGATCTTTTGTTATTATTGTGGGCACTGCCTGGCCAAATTTTTCTTACTGCAGTTATTATTAGTGATGGTGAAATGAAGCTTTCTGAAATGCTCGACTCAATTGGATCTGAAAAAGGTTCGTTTCTCGAAGCTTTCTAAATCAAAGCTCGATGAGGACCTTTTCTGGTTAAAGTGTGGGAAAGCACTGTGCTGCAATAATGTCAAATGTTCACAACTGACCAACTCATTCATGTAACATTAATATAAACAAATTACTCAGTTACTGTAGTTTTTACACATAAGGTATGTTACATTACACCTCCGATGACTATAGTAAAATCCAAGTTATTTAAAAGTAATTACATTTATCATATTCCAATTATGCAGTGGCGCAGTAGGTAGTGCTGTCATCTCACAGCAAAAAGGTTGCTGGTTCGATCCTCGGCTCAGTTGGCGTTTCTGTGTGGAGTTTGCATGTTCTCCCTTTGTTCACATGGGTTTTCTTCGGGTGCTCTGGTTTCCCCCACAGTCCAAAGACATGCGGTACAGCTTGGGTAAGCTAAATTGTCCGTAGTCGTGTATGAGTGTGTGTGAATGCGTGTTTGTGTGTGGATGTTTCCCAGAGATGGGTTGCGGCTGGAAGGGAATCCGCTGCGTAAAAATGTGCTGGATAAATTGGCGGTTCATTCCGCTGTGGCGACCCCGGATTAATAAAGGGACTAAGCCGACAAGAAAATGAATGAATATACCAGTTAGTCGTTCACCCACCCATTCGTTCCAAGCGGGAATCGAACCAGCGATTCCTGCATGGGAGGGGAATGCTCTAGTCTAGGAGGAGGCTATGTGAGTGATGCTTTCGGGCTGCACTCGCTAGCTGGCCTCCTTTAAACACTATACTACGATATGCAGAGGATTTCTTTAAAGATAGTTGTAAAAAATACGCTAATACAGTATGGTTCAAGACATTTTTACTATAAATTGCTATTATTTTTTTGGTTTAAGTACTGGTGTGTGGGATCAGTGCTTTAAAACAGTAGAAATGTATGTAATCGACGCCTATTCTCTCGCTATAACACCCAGGAGGGTGTTTAAACCTTTGAATCAAAATTCAAAGCAGTCACGTGAGTATAGGTGAAAATGAAGCTTCGTACGTCACTGATCACGTGATGATGGTAAGACGAATCAAGCTCCAGTACACTGCTTCACTGCGACATGTATCGTTTTTTTGATACATGTGTCGAAGCATCGATGCACAACGTCACATCACTAGTTATTAATATGTATCTGGATTGTTAAACATTTCAC